TATGATGACGATAGTAGTGGCATAGTGGTTAGTGAAGTGGGGGGCGAGGGCGAGGTGGGTGGGTGTGGGGGTGGGGGTGGCAACTATGATGACGACTAGTTGCTTGGTGGTATTGGTGGTGGGACGGCGACGAGGTGGAGTGGGGGTAGTTGTCATGACGACAATAGTGGCATGGTGGTCGATAGGATAGGGTAGGGCGGAAGGTGGGGGTGGTGGGAGGCACCAGGACACTATTGTCGTCATCATAGCTGCCACCCCCACCCTCCCCAAACACAGATGAAGATTCCACCTTTACATCCAATATAACCAACAGCACCCATCCCTACCTTACCGCCACCACCACACCACTGTTGTTTGGCGTCAAAGCCGCCACCCACCCTACCCCTAACCCCCACTATTGTCACTTTGACGTCCGTCACCCCATTCCCACTCACTCACCACCACAACACTACTGTCGCCGTCACAACTGCCACCCACCCTCACTGCACCATACCCCCACCCACCACTAACCACCTATACCACCATGTCACAGTTGTCGTCGGCACAACTGCCACCCCACCCCTGCCGCCACCAATGCCACTACTATCATCGTTACAACCGCCATCCCCACCCACCACTAACACCACCACAACACTATCATCTTTGTCATAGCCACCACCCCACCAATTAATATTATCATTATAATATATTTATAATTTAAACAAAAAAGTATGAACATATAGTATAGCTGTATTTTGGTCATTTATTGTTATTTCATTCCAAGTTTGAAGCTACATTCAGCCAAACAAAGATGGAGATTCCAATTCTTTTCAGAGATTTCATTTCAATTCCTACCAACCAAAGTGGTGGTCTAATTCCATCAAATTTCGTTCCAATTCCTTTAAAGTCAAATTCCTTTGATATATTCCAATTCAACCAAATTTCATTATAGGAACCAAATGCCCCCTAAGAGTATATGAAGGGTTGGCATTTGGCAGTATTGTTTACTAGATTCACTATGATGCTGGAGTTTCGGAGAAAAAATTTAAATCTTCAAGCCCACCCCCCCCCCGGCATAATGTACCACGAGGAGGATGTCAATATTCTAGAAAGAAATTGTGCTATTTTAGGTCTTCAAATCACAGGCAAAAGAGTACGATTTGGAGCTTGTTTTTGTGAAGAATTCACATACATGTGTTCACATGTACCTGAAAAAAGCTTGAATTTATTGGACTCATGCGAAAACGGGGTGCTTTGGGTGATGGAAACCAAGACTATCAATAGATGAATGGGAGGGTTCCTTGACCGCAAAGAAGGCAAGGACCATGTCTAATCCATTTGAGGAAAAAATAAAGGCAGGCTCACCTTCAAACAAATCCAAAGATTGTTGTAGAACTAATGGGGCTAAAATGGGCAAGTAGGTAAAAGATATAGGTGACAACAAGCTGAAGTGCAAGGGTTCGACTTTAGTGGCAACTGGTTGGAGAGATATTACCGGGCAACAGCGGTTCCTCTAAGTTTTCTATCCACCTTGAGGACAAGTGTTCTTTGGGGGCAGAGTAATGTCATGCACCCACAAAAGCCCAAGCCCATCCATACATATTATTCTTCAATAGTTATGAAGAGGGGTATTTTAGGCACTTCAACAAAAGTCTAGTATAAATAGGGGGATGGAAACAGGGGGAAGGTATCCAAATAATTAGCTACTATTTTGTTGGGAAAGACTTGCCTCTCGAAGACTAGAACCCTTTTATTTTACTAGTGAAACACATTTTCATATATGACAACTGTAATCCTTATTCGATTTCTTGCCTGAATTTATCCAGTTCATAACAAGCGGGACCCCCTCTCTCTACCTTTTTACCCTTGTGATGGAGGTGCTCAATCTTATCTTAAAACGGAATATCAATCCTCCAGCAGGCTTCAAGTACCATCTGAGACATGGAAAGCTTAATTTAACCCACCTTTGCCTCCCTAACGACCTACTCCTTTCTGCCATTACTCATGTTTTGCATTGCGATGTTTTGGTCTATTAACATTTTGAAAAAAAGGCCTTTCAGAGTTCAGAGATATCTCGGGCCTTATGACCAACCTAGAGAAAAGTTCCACCTTCCTGAGAAACATCACTGGCCGTAGAAGGTCTTGATTCCTTAATGTACTACCATTCCCTTTGGGAAATCTTTCAGTCAAGTACTTGGGAGGTCTGTTAATCTCAACAAGACTCTTTCATAGAGACTGCTCTAACCTCATTGACTCCGACAAAAGAGTCTTAGACTGGAAAAACCATTGAATGTCCTTTCCAAGTAGATCGTAGCTACTTCAATCTGTGTTGTCCTTTATTCAAATTTATTAGGCTTCCTTTTCCTTATTCCAGTGTTGGTTTCCAAAGACATTGAGAAACTTCTATGCGGGTTTCTTTAAAATGAAGGGGACCTCATGAAAGGAAAAGCAAAGGTTAGTTTGAAAGATATTTGCCATCCGAAATCCCAAGGGGGGTCTCGGATTAAAGTCCCTGAAAAATTGGAACAAAGATCTCCTTGCTAAACACAGTTGGAAGCTGGTGGAAGGAGGGGAATCTTTATGAATCAAATGGTTTCATCAGTGTAGTTGGGCCGAGTGTTCACACACATCAGAGTCTTTGCCCTTTAAGTATTCGTTCTTTTGGGTATAGATCTGGTTTCAAGATCTATGAACAAGAAGACTTAGCCAGGGCTTCTTCCGAGATCTTTAAACATATTTGAGGGTTCAATGTCATTATTTAAACTTCGGCCAACACACAAGATAAGACTTTACCACCGTGGAGCGACTTTTTTCAACAAGACTTAGCCACGACCAATATACTTTTGTGATCTCATATAGATTTTGATCGGAACTTTTGGGATGTGCAAGAATCCCATGGGCGCTGTGTGGTTATGAAGGATGTCCATATATGGGGTTTGTCAGAGATAACATTATTGGCAAACTGGGAGATGGTGGAAACACCTCTCTTTGGTTTGACAATTGGCACCCTAATTGTCCCTTCTATAGCTTTCTCTAGGTAAATTATTTATACATACTGAGCCCTAAATGCAAACCTATAAGATGGAATTTGGATTTGGCCCAAATACCTTCTGATAAATTTGGTTCATCTCACCTCTGTTATACTCCCTCTTTCAGGTCTTTGGCATCTCGAAGAAGTTGAAGTGGAAGGATAAAAATGGTAGCTTTCATCACTTTGTTACGGCTACTGTTTGGACTGATATTAGGGCGTAAAGAGCTGAAAGTTGCTAGGCCAAAGGTGGTTTGGTTCTCCCAAAACATCCAGGGACATGCTTTCATCCTTTTGTTGGCTATTAAGAAACGGCTTTGTACACAAGATCGTCTTACCAAGGGGGCAATCAAAGATGGAAGCCATTGTGTCCTATGCTACAATGGGTTTAAAAATCACAATCACCATTTTGTCAAATGCTCCTTCACCTAATGCGTTTGGGGCAAATTGGAAGGTTTGGACAGATTTGACGACATTTTGAGTCGTGGGATGCCCCAATTTCTACTGGAATGACCTGATTCTCACACCTAGTTGCAGACCCATCAACAAATCCATTTGGAGTGTCATCATAAAGTTGTTGGTCACTGCTGTCATCTACTTTGGTAGGAAAGACATGCTAGGATTTACCAGAATAAGCTTAGATCTGCGGATGTCCTTGCTAGCAAAATTCTTGGAGTAGCTTTGGCCACGTTATTTGGTCTAAAGACCTAAGATTAAAGATTCCCCCCAATTGAGATTGGTTGCGGCAGTTTGGAAATGTAAAATAGGCAACAAAGGGTTTGAACCTTGCAGCCAAAACCTAGATTGAGTCGTTTTCTATGATTGAGAGAACAATGCTCTTATCCAATCACGGGAGCGTTATCTATGAAAGCTTCCAAAGCTTCCATAATCTATATTCTTTGAGTGGTCAATCGTGAGGTGAACCAGAAATCTGATTTATGCTGGGATACTCACAAGGGTCCTGGGAAATATTTTCTAAGTTTGTTCATTTTTGCAGATAAGAGCTGGTTGTTTGAGCTGGTTGTGAAAAGAACAAGTGTTGATTCTTGCTGCACTTGTTGTCTCATGATTTTCGAGGACTTCTTGGTCCACAAGAAAGCTGCTGCCATGATCCGAAATATGGTGCACCTTGGCTTTGGGCGCACCTGCATAACCGTCAAGTTCATCTTTTATTTGTATATTACTATTTGGGGTCCTCCACTCGGAGTTCAACTGATATGTTTAGAAGTGTGGGTTATATAATTGTTACTGGAGCTGATTGGGATGGCTCTTGCTACATTGATTTCAAGAATGTAAAGGGTAACTTTGTTGGTAAGTTGGTTCCTATGATCAATATATGGACAATCATGACGATGTATTCTAGTCCTTACAAGAGCTGGTGTAGACTTATCTATGGTATGAAATCAAATCTTGCTCACATCCTGGCCTTTTGTGTATGAGTGTTAGGTGGTGGTGGGCTTCTTGCTACAAGTGTGATCAAGGTCTTTGAGGGAACCACATCCCTTAGTGTGTTTGTTTACGTCTTTTCCAGACTACCCCGACTTTGTTTAAATATGGCCCAATCAGTTTTTTGAAGGCTCAACTATTTTGTTACGCCCTTTGATGTAAATCTTGTCACCCATACACTCTTTGCTCTCGTTCTATTCAGGTGCTTGCTGGCATTTTGGTTGTCTTGTGGAGATCTACATAAATTTTTTGGTGGATGGTGCTTAATACCTTTATTTTTGTTGGAAGGTCACACATGTGGGTATTTTTGGCGTGAACCATTGGAGAGCAGTCATATTTGGTCGCTTAACTCATCATCATCATGGATTGGCTCTAAAAATATTCTTAGGAATTGTTGTATTTTTATTTATATCTGTGTGATACTTCAGTTCAGCTTTTGGCTCTTTGTTAATATGTTAGGTTATAGGATGAAACCTTCTATTGCTGATTTCCCAAAGCATGTTTTGGGAAGGCATTTTGTGGTGGGTATGTCCGTCCTACTTTTAAAGCAGAATTTGTCTAATACAAGTTTTCCTGGTTCCAACCCCTTACCACAAAAGAACTTGTACCTCGACTAACGAGAGAGTAGCTGCTTGACCTCAGACAGGGATTCTCAGATCGGAACAAAAAGGGAATGACTAAATCAATCAAATTCCAGGAGGCTTAGCAAAGTGCTTTGGGGAAGTTCTGTATAATATATTTCAAGAACGAATCATGTTCAGGGTTCCAAACTCAATGACGGCAACTAAACACGAGGGTTGAGCTCATTCTTCCTTCATCTAAATAGATAATCGATGCCCTTAACTTCATTATAAACTGTGGAGCTCCCATGTGTACTACTTAAGACTTATGAATTGACAAGGACTCAATGATTTGGTTGTAGTTTAATGGAGATGCATTATGACATTAAGGAAGCTATGTACATCTCTGAAAACTATATATGTCATAGAGCACAGCAAACATTAAGAGGTGGAATATTTGTTAATGACAAGGAGGTTGATCTTTATCAAGAGGCTTCTTAAACTGAGCCAATTTGGGTGCATACTTGAGACCAAGGTAGAAGGTATATTGATCAACCCCCTAGATAATGCTAATATATATAACTATATAAAGCAAGTTTTTAATCTTAAACACATATAATCCCACTTGAGTAGGAGTGTTTAGATGTATAGGGTATTTAGTATCACTTTCTTTTATGTTTGCTCCATACCCTAGTATAAATATTTGCACATTTAATACATCCTTTTTAGTCTCTTTTAACTAAAACAAAAAAAAGTAAATATTATTGCAAAGTTGGCTAATATGATGGTGGTAAAAATTATGTCCCACTAAAGCACCTAAACGTGTGGAACACTAAAAGCTAGTCACCATTTAAAATTAGCATTAATGGATCCATTAAACTCTGTCAACGAAGTTTACATGAGAGACATTTTTTAATCCGAAGATCGGTTTATTCACTTAGGCGACAAAGTCGGTTCTTCAATGCAGTCGTTGATTGTTGCAGATGATGAAGTCTTAGAAGACGTTTTGATGAAGTTGATGTTGTCAATGATGTTGATTCATGTGATCTACCAAATGCATCTATGTAAATAAATTATAAACACATCCGTAATGCATTTGAATTCATTCCATATTTCGTACATATTCAGCCCCGTATTCAAATTCACTTCAAAATGAATCTTATACTAATGCATTAAGATTATAATAATGCATTTAGATTCAAAAGTGATTAAACAATGAAACAAGATTCACTCCATAAACACAATAATGCAATTAGATTCAATACTATAAACACAATAATGCCATTAGATTCATTACTATAAACACAATTAGATTCATTACTATAAACACAATGAAACAAGATTCATGCAATAAGGGTCCAAGCATTGCTCCTGTTAGGAGAGAAGAGAAGAGAAGAGAAGAAGAGAAGAGACCATCACTGGAAAGAATCGATAAAGAAAGAGACCACCTTTGGAAAAAATTTGATGCAACATTAGGATATCTCAATATTTTTTAATGCAATCCCATTAATTCTGTATAACTATTATAAAAAATTAAAAAAATCAATAATTATGTTATATTTAGAATTTCCAATATTACTCTTTAACAATTTAAAAAATGACAAAAAAGTATTAAATGGACGGTTTGAGTTGGGGTTGCATTGGTTGTAACAATGCGATTGGTTGTATTTGAAATATACCCTATATATATACTATATATATATATATAGAGAGAGAGAGAGAGTAAAGTTAATATAATAAACTGCCATTGATCATTTCAAGCAACATCTAACTCAAACTCTAGACTTGTTAACTTTGATTCTTGCATGTTCTAAATTAAACCTTAATTTCCTTTGCTCATTCTCATGCTATAGAAAACATATTATTTACCAATTTTATGTTGACATGAACATGGTGAACATGGACAAGTTGGAGAATGGAGGACATACTTTCTAACAGGAAAGCATAAGTACAGGTGTTGTTTGAGCTTCAAGACCAGTTTGTTTGCTTTTGCACATGTGCCTTTTTTTTGGGGGGGAGTGAGAGAGAGTACCGTGAAAAGGAAGTTGTATCCCATTTCAAGAACAGAGCGCAGAAAGTCGATCCTTAGCCACATCATCTTCAAGTAATCAGGGGTCATAAAATAGGCCTCGCGGGAGAGATCAGCCCCTTCAGTAATGAGTGCAAAGCAATGAGTATGTACACGCTTACAACTCATGAAAGCCTTCTGATCTAGAGCAATAATCACCAAATGATTTAAAAGTTTGCTGGTTTGGTAACCGATTCTAAAGCTTTCCAGAAAGAGATCTAGAATTGAATTCTCTGGATCTGCCCATGCTTCATTCAAAGTGGTCAAAATAACTGTATGGTCTTGCATGGAAGCGTCCTTTAAGACTGTTTCCAGATTAGTATCAGCACTGTCCTACAATAGCAACACATGATCAATAAGTGAGAATGGAGAGATTGTGATACTCACTTCACACATTACAGCCAAAGAATGCTCGGGATCTTCAGATAGTTTATAAGTCAACCACTGAGCAGCCCTCACATGAATGTCAATGGTGCACAAATGTATTGAAGGTAGTGTTTATTTGATGCACACTTTATTAATGTCTTTTCAGCAGAAGCATAAAGTATAAGTTGGTGGCAATGGTGTTGCTCCCACCAGATCTGTGTCGCAAACTGAACAGAGTGTACCAAAGGCTTAGGAAAATGACAGCATGATAGCAGTACTACAATTCCCAATAGCAGAAACAGATAAAAATCAACATGTCTATATCTTATAGGGGAAAAACCAACACGCCCATCGTAAAGGCTATATTGACTAGCTTGCAACACACAGGAAATGCTATTGCAATGATTACTTCATTCAAGGAGCATAGCACATATGTGTAGAATCACTTAACGGGTTAATGCTTCACAGAGAAAAGTACCAATTGCTTATATTGCATTACTAAGTCCTGGCCAACGGTCTCTAGCGTCTCGTGAAACACCACCTATATACTGCCATACAGCATGTCCCAATTCCCAAGTGAAGACAAAGTTGGAGGCATTTGCATTTCTTGAAGGTCAAATATTGTAGCTAGCTGTTACCATGAACCATAACGAAATTGCATTTGGCGTGACATGTTAGTGTTGCACCAGGAGCGGTGAGTGTAAATAAGCAGGTACATTTATAATGAAGAGCAAAAATGGGGCATAATCCCTTAGTGAGGGGCGTAATTGGATTTCAGGTGTAAGCAATATTGACATGTCATAAGCAAGGGTTGGCATTATCTTGGTGATGTGACATTATAGCGTTTGAGTGTGGTGAAATATGAGCTAAGAGAGCTAGTTCATATGTTGAGAAGGCCAGTGAATGTTACATGCATTTCAGGACACTAAGTGAGTTGGTAAAAAATCTAAGAAAAACGAGAGCAATGCCGGTAAATATATCGACCTAGGACTCAGGCAGGTAGACTATAATAGATAGTAGTAAAATCAAACTAAACCAAAGTACTCAGCATGTCCCACTAGAAAGTAGATCTGGGGGCTAGGATGTATGTAGACCTTGCCTCTATTCGAAGTTGTGAGTGTTTCCATGGAGACCTTCGGTTTCAGAAAAGTTCTTTTTTTGCATGCCGAGACAGCATGTTACGAAAAAGATTTCACAGTTTTGAACGGTGACAATCGTGGTACAATACTAAGAGTTCTGTAAAATTAGAACACAAGTAAAAAAAAGGTTTCAAACACGTAAAGCACACTTAAAGCATGGGAGAAAGTAATAATAATTAGTACAAATGAAGAGAGGTTGGATTGAAGGACATGTACGTTAGCCAAAAGGTCTACTCCTAGTTGACCTTCTCCTATGGCATCCTAACTGTTGCCAACAAACCCCCAACCCACTCTGTGCCTTGCCCTCCACAGTCCTCCCACCCACAGTAGCTTACTACTTCTATACATAATCTACTACGCTAGTCCGAGGAGATAATGTGGTTGAAACTAAAAAAAGGGATAAAATCATATGAATAGTGGTGAGGGAGGTTAAGAGTGCCATTAACTGAAATGTCCCTCGTGATGGCTTAAATAAATCTATCAAAAAAAGTTGAGTAAGACCTATAATAAGTGGTTCAAGGAAAGCCAATCAATCAATATCTTTCATATGAAGATGCATAATACTAATATGGGAAGAGATATTAGAGGCTCTTGTAAATTCATGATGAAAATGCATTCTAAGTTATTGAGTAGCTTATAATGCTAATGTGAGAAAACATTTTATAGGCTTTTTCGCAAATTCATGAAGAAAATGCATTCTAAGTTATTGAGTAGCTTATACAATGCTATTGTGAGAATGTATATATAGGGTCAAGTTCAAGGGAAAACTGCAAAAAAATGAAAAACTGAGGAACACTCTAGTAAACGTTCATCTGTACGGTATGCACATGTGCATACAAGTAATTTGTAAGTAATTTTTCCGGTATGCACATGTGCATAACATTCACGCGTCCATAGAAACCAGGAAACATCTTCAATTACTTGTATGCGCATGTGTATATCGTACATATGGACAGTTATTAGGGTGTTCCTCAGTTTTTCATTTTTTGGGGATTTTCCCTTGAACCTCCCTCTCTCTCTCTCTCTCTCTCTTTCTCTCTCTCTCTCTCTGGCTCTATTATATATATATATATATATATATTGTAGATTAAGGTTTGGATATTGTATTGAAAAATTAAAGAAAAAGGCATTGCAAATTCCTAGTAACTTATGACTTGATGGTTGTAGACATTACCATTTTAGAAACATGACTCCCACCTTGTAACTTTTGTAATGATTAAAACTAACCAAATACACTTTTGCTCTCTAAGAAAAGGGATAGACAATTGTGCATATGTTTCAAATTCGAACATAAGGAGTTTTCAGCACAGCATAGGTTTTTACGGGCCATCATCTGCATCTTTTATGTTACTAGACTGAGTAACACCTTGTAACTAGATGGTTAAACCTAGAGGAAGATGTCTAGATATGTTTAACAATCGAACAAAAAGAGAGGCCTACAGATAGGGAAACCAGTAGGATCTGAAAAATGATGACCATGTGCACCCAAAATAGGAAGCGGGTGATCTGAAATAGTTGAGGAAGTAAGGAAATGGAATTGAAACTATAAGACACTTTAGCATGGACCAATGGACCAATGGAACAAATTGTTATCAAGGAAACAAGTGATGCTACTACAACACGATTTTATAGTGCAGAGAAAATAGATAAGTATAATTTGTTGAGAGAAGCTAGAGCTAAAGCAGATGAAGATTCTATAAAGACTAATAATAGGCAAAGAAAAAGGGCATACCATATTGGCCAATGGAAAGAAAACTATGAATCCAAGTCAGATCAGATGCATTAAGGATGTGAAACTGAGACCATAAATCAAGAATAATGAGGCTAGAATAATTGAGGGTTTGGCTAGAAGATCTTCAATGACAAATGGTAACGTAAATGTCATGACTCATTGACTATGATAGTAGAAAGTTGTACTTAGAATCAAATGTTGAAAGTTAAAGGAAACATCAAGTAGAAGGATATGATCATATGATACAAGTAGCTTTAGCCAAATAACACCAAGATTTTCTTCAAAGAGATACTGCAACATCATCACTCTAATATGAGACGTAACACATGTGGAAAAAAATGATATGACATTAAAATTGAAGTAGACCACCTAACATAACCAAATACCAATATAAATGTTAAATTGAGCAAAAGGTTTTTCATGGGAGTCTTTCTGATAAGAATGACATCTCCATTTTTATAGAACTAGGTGCAACCCATTTAAATTAAATCACTACATGTGGATATGGTAACATCTAACTTGGTCTTTGATAACTTACTTAAATTTGCAATCCTTTCTTTGATATGAGTGTCAAAACCGATACCTTTATTAGTTGTCTGTAGCAAGAACGGTTTCCTCTTCACTGGCCACTAGCAATTTCTCTGACTACTAACTACAAATTTCATCGAGTATTATGTAAGTTGTACGCATAAAGCATTTAAGAAAATGGCCTCATCATGGCCTCCCAGAGCTATTTATATTGTCAAATGCATATATAAAAATTTCTCTATTTCTAAAACTGTACTAAAATTATAAACTTGGGCTAGAAATAAGGATGTACCAACACCATCAATTCCTTATATAATGCATCACCATTCATCTCTAACTTTCTCCACATACCATGGTAGTTGGTACATCATCAAGTATATGTGAATACAAACTCTCCATCATCAAACATAGATGGGTAATGAAATGTCCTTGCTGGGATTCACAAAATACTGACAACCTACTCAAGCATCAAGAGATATCAAGCCAAGGCTTTGAATATCCTCAAACAGATCAAAGGCTGCTTGAAGACATCATCACCCAAGTATGGCGTCAAATCCTAGGCTACGATTTGAATGGCCTCAACAAGGTCGAAGAGTGATTGAGAACACATCATGCATAACTCCACAAGACATCAACATATTGGAAGACATTCAGAAACCAAATAGAGAAGATGGCAACTACAAAAATGCCATGTTCCCAAAACAAGCCATTAAGCCCCACAACTTCGGGGTGTTCGTAGTCCGGTTTAGATGGTTTAACCCCTCAAACCACAAATCATACCGCAATGGCAGTTTAGAAATTTTCCAAATCAATCGGTTTGGCAAATCGAACCACAAAAAGGCGGTCTGGTCTGACCAATTTAGGCGGTTTGGGCCTAATATGGGATTAAACTAAAAAACTTAATCTATTATTCTAAAATGAAATTTCTACAATATAACATTATTAAAAAAAAATACTACACTCTCCAAAATTATAAAAGAAAATATTTGCCAGCAAGTTGAAAAAAAAATTAAACAAGTCTACTAACAAAAAAAATGGAATTTTGTATAAACATTGAGCATATCGAAAAACCATTAGGAATTTTCAACTTTGATTTTTGACGGATTTCGAAATTTTGCCGACTTAGGGAATGTGGACAATTGAGAAGCGAAAAAATAAAACTTCATGCCTTGAACAATTTTCTTTAATTGGGGCATAAAAGATGAGTCTACAACATGAAAACTAAATATAATTAATACACGTGTACTTTGGCAGTCGGTTGGGTTCAAACTGCTCAAAAAAACGTTCAAACCGCTAAGTGAACCAGACCGAGCGGTTTGGCTATTTTTCACATTGGAGCGGACCGCCAGACCGCTCAAACTGCCAAAAACAATCAATTTCGACTTGGTTTAACTGGTTGGAGCAGTCCAACAGTTTTTTTAACACCCCTACCAAAAATGAAGACAAGTTGTCGACTCAAGACAACAATTTAATAACTAACTTTGTAGCTCTAGAATCTTTCAGTTTATGCTACTACCTATTATCCGAACTGAGGACGGGTTTCTGGAGTTAGCTCACCCTCGGCAGTCTTTGAAACCACTAGATGACTTAAAGACTCTTTCTTGGGGCTTCTTCTTAGTCCGTTAGGTAGTTGCCTAGAGCTATTAACTAGACCGAAAGGGGAATAACGACCAGTCTTCCTAGCGATGTACAATTCTTTTGGTATATGAAATCTCGATGTCTAGGTCAATTCAATATTGAACAGAAAGGTAGCAATTCTTTTGGCAGTCTTTTGGTATATGCCATTGAGATCATTGCTTTCAGCATCAATGAGCAATATAAACTAGAAGGTAATATTATCACATGCATGGAGACTAGTTCGACAGTGTCATCAGTGTGTTTGGTGAATAACAACCCATGCCAAAGAACCATAACTGGAGAGACGTGCGGTACTAGTTGAAGAACTTGACATGCCTACATAGGCTACAAATCTAGAAGACGAATCTCTGGAAATGAAGTACTAGGTCAAGGGTTATAACTAAGGTGAAGTACATTAAGTATGATGACGAACTCTGCAGCTATTTCCCGTTAGAAAGACCAAAGTCATCCTCGTTCAAAAAGAAAACCTACTTTTGCTCCTAAAGTTCAAATCGTTACTTTCCAAGCTGAAAATTAATATAAATTTCTAGAACAAACTTGGCCTACTTGCATGTTGCATCCTTTATCGGTAAATAAATTCTCACTCACAAATTGGGATAATTCTAACTTGGAAACTGAAAACAAGTCCATCCGACTTTCAAAACTTGGCCTCCTTCTCTGGGAAGGAGTGATTATATAAACGTAAATGCTCAGGCATCATAACTACTTGCTACATTTTCTATAGCCATCGTATATATATGTAGCTGTGCTTTCAATTAGGCCTTGCTCTAGCTTCTTTAGGGGTTATTACTTCTTTGGTATGACGTCTCCCACCGTCCTCCGGCTTATCACCGGCAGTCTGTTCAGGGTTCCAGATTCAATGATGGCAACTAAACACGAGGGTTGTGCTGCCAAGAAAAAAAGTGCAGCACCAATAAATCCATGAGAGATTATTTGTAAAATATGCAAGAGCCTAATTCATCATAAACATAGCAAATGACCGACATACAGAATGCAGGAAATTGAAAATGAAATCAAAACACAAAACTACGTTCCTAACAAACAATCCTGGTAACAGAAGATACAAACATAAAACGATTTCTAAAACAGCGACTTACCGGCAAAGAATCAAAAAGTGAGGATGGGAATATGCGAGTCGAGGGAACGAAGTATTCGGGTAATCGGATCCGACCCGAGTCAAAAGCTCTATCGAAGACAAGATAAGAGAAAACAAACACGACGACGAACAGAGTGGCAATACGAAGACGGTGAAGGACAAAGGAAGGCCTGATTTCCCAATAGCAGACACGCAGCATTTCTCCGGAGAACAGGCAAGTGGCAGATGAATAAATCGCCGCCTGAGATGATCTTCTCAGGCGAACAATGGCCGTTCGTCGTCGCCGTTCCGGTGATTCGAGCCTCATCTGCGAAATCACAGCTCGAAAACAGGTGTGTATTATTACCTTAAGATCAACATACAACTGGGTATGCGTAGTTTACAATTCGTTGGGTTCGATTTACAATATATGGTTTAACAAAAATGAAGTCTAACGTCATTAAACTTGAAAAGTTATGAATTTGGTTCTGATGGTTGTTGTTTTGTTAGGACTATGATTCCTCTCATTAATTTTGTTAACGATGACTCTGTTTAGTTTGGTACATTTGAGTTCTAGTATTTTTCTCATATATTTTCTTACAAACTTGAAATGTAAATTATATAATATTTAATTATCTTGTTTTATATTTATATTTATATTATATGTATACATTATTTATATAATATATAGAAGCGTAATCATTTGTTAACCTATTAATTGTATTAATTTTACAAATCTAGTCTTTTTTTCATATATTGATACCATATTTTTTAATTATCTCATTCACTTGATTATTACATTTCATAACTTATCTCATTCACATTCCACAATTTATCTCGTTCCTTCTAAATTTGAAATTTTCAACTATGAATCTTCTTTTTCTGCAAATAATTCATGTCCAGATCATAAAACGAATCTTGCAACAAAAAGAAATATTGGTTCTAACCTCTCTCAGTGATTTTAGAGACGACCCAAATTACTTAGGGGACGTTTGGTTCGTAAATTCTAAGGAATCTAATGAAATTGAAATGTTGAATTTCATTGACCAAATTATATTCCCTTGTTTGGTTCATTTTTTTTCACGAAAATAATCTTCAAAATTCTATAAGTTCCCCAAATAAAGGAATTTAACATTTCTTAGCAATCAAATGGTATTTTGATTGAATGTAACTAGTGCTCGGCACCGTGCGTTGCACGATGATCATAACACATGTCATATAATATACAAAAAACTATGAACCACAAATATATCTGTATACTTCAAAATTGAAAATACTAAATTTCATAGTGCATTTGTAAATATTCCAATATTTCAAGGCAACCTTCTCGTTTCATATATTTCACTGTTTTCAGTAATTTCTTTTCTCGTTTCATATACTTCACCGTCGGCCCTATGAATTGCCACAGAGACATCTCAATCTTTCTTTATATATCTATCATTTAGTGTCAATCTTTTATCTACCTATCAATATGGGATAGACAAAACTAATCACAATTCAATATTAAATAACACTCAATCTTAGGGTGTCATATTGATGGTCATGGTTCTTACTTATAAATATAAAAAGAATAAATATTATATATATATAATTAATTTTTAATATTGATTAACCCTTCTTGCAAAACGAAAGTTGGCCAAAATGACCCAACCCCATGTGTTCAGAGGGTTGGCCAAAATGCTCTAACCACAGGTGTTAAGAGAATCAACCAAGAGAAACCAACCTCATGAGTTGTCACAAAGGCATCTAGACCTCATTTTACATATCCAACATTTTTGTCAATCTTTCAACTATCAATCAGTGTGGGGTATATAAAACTCAATCACAATTTAAGATTGAAGAATATTCAATTATTAGGGTGTCGCATCCACGGTTTCGCTTCTTACTTTCAAAAACATATTAAATTTATCTCTTCAATTAATATTTAGTATAGATTAATTTTGTCACAAAAAAGGGTTGGCCAAAATGAATCAATCGCATATGTTTGGAAGTTCAGTCAAAATGATCCAACCACGTGAGTTTAGACAATTGCTCGTGAGTTTAGACAATTGCTCCAAACATTTAAAAATAAACATGGTTTATATAGCCAAATGAACCTTTTACTTTTCAAAGGGAACTCATATTTCTCTTATATACTCATTTTTCTCATTGACGTATCAATTTCTAATCAATGTGAATACCAAAATCCAACCATAATGCAAGAATTTTAAAATATTTGGTTTTAATGATGCCACCTTATTATTTTCTAGCTTTCTTTTGTATTGATATATTGATTTTTTTATATAGACAACTTTTTTTTGCAAATAGAGGGTTCGTCAAAATGAACAAACCCCATGAATTAGAGGGTTAATGTCACACCCCGCTAAAGCGGAAACACGAGGTATGGCAGGKATAGTCTCATAGCAATAGAGTATAAATAACACAACCATACATTTAAAATTTAATTACACCATTAACCAAAGTTTACAATTCCAAAGAGAAGTTTGTAAATTAAACACAAAAAGAAAATTTGAAGGTGATAGTTGTGATACGGCTTCTTTTAAGTGCCACCATGAGCCTTTCTTACCCCTGAAAAGCACGTCAAAACAAATGTCAACTACAAGAGTTGGTGAGTTCACATGTTTTCATTTCACAACAAATCTTTAAGCAATATTTAATTCGAGTAAATCTTTTACWTACTCGCAACACTTTCACACGAGGCACAATGTACTCCAAGTAATTTTTACGTGTTGGGCCACTACTAAACCT